AGGGAAGATATGGAAGATATAGATCGGGTGGCATCTGGTTATTCGTTAATCTAGCCACTGTGCTAAATAAATTGTTTTGGTTGTTTTGGTTATTTTCTATGAGCAAGTTTGTTTTTCTCCATTTGCGCTCAAGACTACGAGTTTTTTTTCTTGAGAGAATGGGTATTACTGTTGTACCATGGCGCAGTACGTTTTTCTCTAACCTTTTTCAATTTGATGGGGGCAACAGCTTCTAATGTATTAGAGAAGATAGTGCCCATGTTGCTCATCGTTTCGTCTAGTTCATGTGTACTTATTGGTACACAAAGCAGTTGAGATAAATCAGGCAGGTTATTTGTGAATCTGTCTTTAGTGGTTGGAACAATAGTTCTTCCTGAGCGATAACACGGAGCCATATAGTTAATATCAGTATTACGCAGCATGCACGATACAAGGAAATGGTCAGTAACATCATCACTTTGAGGTACGATACCATTCATTTAAAGCAAAAAGTCTACTGAACCTTTCGTGTCCTCGTCGATACGTGGGAAGCGGTCCTGACACGATGATCGTCGTCGCTGGCGATGTGCTGCGTACCGTCTCGATCAGGCTCCTGAAGTCCCTCTTCAGCGTCCTCTTCAGCTTGGTTTCGTTAACCCCCGCGTGCAGCATGACTGCTCCGATGCTCTAGTCGCCCTTCAGGATAGTGGGTATCTGCGCAGAAACATCAAGAACATGAGCACCAGGGAAATGGTGAGTGTGCACTTTACCTTCAGCTAACGTAGCACGGACGGGCCAGATGATGGAGTCTCCGACGATCACAGCGTCGCATTCCGTCTCGCGGAGGGGAGCGAAGTGGTTCTAGGTGGAGATCTCGAAGACCGGAGGAGGCGGAGGGGGAGAGGTCGTCGCCTGGGGCCTGGCTCGCGTCTTCCGTGGTGGGTGCACCCAGGGTCCGTGGTGTCCCAGGACAAACTAACAAAAACATAAAAACAACTGCGGAGCACGCCACGGAGGCAGCCATCAGCGTCGGCGCCATTAGTGTCGTAGTTTTTATTAAAAACTTTTATTAAAAACTTAGCCCAGACTTGTGAGCGTCAGCCCGGGATGTTTCCAGCAACCGAATGCAGCTCGAACGTGTCCTCACCTGCACTTAAAGGTAGACACACATCCGCCATTAAAGCAAGTAACAGTGAGTAAAACAATGGTAATGTGTGTGAATAGAGTATTAGTAATGTAAGCGAGATTAGCGGCA